ATACTTTAATATTATATTATGCATTAATTAATAACATACTTTGATAAACATTCCCGAAACAGGTGAACTTGTTTCTGAATCATCCGCTAAACGTCGTATTACTTTAGATCGCTTCGATGGTAAATCACCTTTTCTTTCTTTTTTAAAATTCTTAAAATTTAAAATGAAAAAGTTTTATTTTAAATTTAAAAATATTTTGGATCCATTTCAAAGTAAATTAATTCTTTACACTGTCAAATATTCGGCATATAAATGGTTGGCACATTTCTTTTAAAAGCTTTAAATTGTTTATCACTGACGAAATAAAGTTCTTTTTCCTTTTTTTGTTAACGCATAATTTGCTGCGAAAGTTTCGATCATACTGTCAATATTATTTGTGGATTAATTTTACACTGTATTAGTAATGGAAGGGGAAAAAGGAGAAAAGAGATTATAATTGTCATTGTTGAAATACTAATTTGTCGGTAGGTGATAGTATAGATAACAGGTAGTATTCATGTAAATAATTCGATAGGTGAAAACATTATAATTTAAATGAAGGAATGAAATAAACAAATAACATAAATAGGTACTACTAATGAGTTTAATAAAACTAACTTAACTTTCAGTCATTTTCATATAATGAATCTTATAGTGGATGACTAATATATTGAAATTAAATTAAGACAATTATTCAAACAATGCTTATAATAATGTCTACCTTTTATTACTTTAAATCAGTCATTTTGCTAACAGAAAATATTGATTCAAAGTTTCAAAGTAATTTCATATGTATATATCTGAATATATTGGTAATGATTTTGCATGATAATATTTACTTGTACGATAATTGATTTTAGGTTTGTCATTTATATGATAAGCGATTTTAGGTTTATTATTTATACGATAGTTGATTTTAGGTTTACTATTTTTCATTTACGTTATGAAATGATACAATCAGTTTGAATGACTGATAAAATAACCGGTTTCAACTGGTAACACTTTTTTCAACAAAATGTGAAGTGCCTCCTTTATATCTTAAAAATGAGAACTTTTTTTACTACCCTTTTCATCTATAATTATAATAAACAAAATGAAATTTAACAATATCAATTATTTCCATCAAAGTAACTCATTTTCACCTTCTCATCATTAATTATAACTATTATTCATTAATTCATTTAATCGTGACAATCAGTTAGATAACATCAATTTGTTTAAACAAATCTTCAATCGATCCAGTCGATCATTGCAATTTTGACAGCTATTAAAATAGTAATTCATAACACCAAATACTACTTCATTTTGCTTGTTGCATGCAAAAAGAAGTTTCACTTATTGCATGCAAAAAGAAGTTTTGCTTATTGTATGCAAAAAAAAGTTTTGCTTATTGCATGCAAAAAAACTGCATGCAATGTGAAATGATGTGAATTTATTTCATTTTTACTCATTTAGGATTATTTTCAATTAAAAATTACAGGTAATTTACGTCACTCATTATATTATTTCTTGCAATTATATAATTTTCTTTTAAGAATTAAAAAGAAATTTTTATATATTTAAAAAGTAAAAAATTGAAAATATAAAAGTGATTGTTAGTTTTGCTTATTGCATGCAATATGAAATGATCGTATGAATTTATTTCGTGTTATTCGATCATTTGTTACCATAGAATTGCTCGAAAGTTATATAATGATACCTGTAGAAGAAAGAAGAAAAGAATTGTTTAATTTTATCCTTCTTTTTTCCACTCATTTCTTCTATCATCCTAAATAATTCCCTCGTTTTTTCTTCTTTCAATAATTTATTAATTTTAGGATAATTAATCAATTTTAGAATAATTGATTAGAAAATAAGTTATCGATAATTGATATATGATATTCATATACGTAATTATTTGTAATTTATGCCATAAATTTGTATAATTTTGATTTATACTGTTTGCGTAATATAATACTATGTTTGTTATATTGAATACAAAAATTATTTCACATATATTTATAGCAATTAAAATATATCAAAAAACGCAAAATGATAGCAATATCGGCTCGTCGTACTAACTTTAAAGAAACAGCAAAACCTAATGTTTCACCCGAAACTATCATTAGTCGTACGGTAACAGAACAGCAACATCATTCGCGACAACGTATTATTAATGAAACATATCCGGAGCTATCATTGAATCACGAGAAGAAGCATAAAGTGAAGTTACGATGTAAAGCACCGTCGTTACCAGCTACAATTGAAGATGCTAGCGAAGATGAGGAGGTTATTCATTAATAATTTTTTTAATTTCTTTAAATTTAAAAAGAAAAATTTAAACAGAAAATTTCTTTAAAATTTAAATTTAAATTTAAAGAAATTTTCTTTTTAAATAAAATTTAGAAGATATTAAATTTAACAAAAAAAAATTCATTTTCTTTTGCAGTTAACGACTGTTAACAATTGTTTATCTTCCACTACCAGAAGCCTTGAAGGACGTTCACCACATGTATTACCACCGGAGGAACTCTTTCAACATAGTCTTCTCGAAAACCGGGATTTCTCCTCTCATCCTCTCCTAAGTCCGAAATTCAAACACCGTCATTTAAGACCTCTTCGGATTACAAAAACAATTAACAGCTTGTCACAGGGATTTAACGATCCAATCATACGAAATAAGCGAATGCTCTGTAAGTTCATTCATTTGAAAATGAAGATTGAGATAGTGATATTAACAAGTGGAAGAGATAATCAACAAGTGGAAGAGATACCTTCGTTCTTTTTCATACTGAAACAACTCTTTTCACTTACGCTATTTTGATTTGATAGCCTTATGGAACATGATACTTGTAGAACTAGTAGATATCTCATATATATACCACTTTAACTCTTTAATATTATACCTTAAAAGTTATCGTACTGAGTTCTCGTTTTATGTAGCGCTTCATTTTTTACTTACAGTTAAATCTAAAAATTATGATAAGTGGAACATCAAGTATAAAAGTAAAACACTGAAATTTCAGCATTATTTAATGAGCGTTCAAATAGCGGAAATTTCGATTCACTGTCTTCAGACTTCTTGAACTTACCACCAATTCCCGAAACTATTCCAATGAGGAAGATATCAGAAAAAGATGGATCAAATTCGGGTGACAAAGAAGAGAATGCTTTTGAAGTGCTGACCTCAGAACATTCTAATTACAGCACATCCACATAATAAAGATTCATACTGTTTTATTACATTTATGAAAATCACCGACTTCCTCACTAAAATTTAAACCAGATTTTCTTGTGACATATATCACGTTATGTAGCTCAAATATCAAGCAAAATTACTACTACCTGATCAATTTGTATAAAATATAATATATATCGATCAGGTATTAATATGTATAAAATATAATATATACCGATCAATGGATTTACATCACTATGATATCAGAATATATTTGTGGTCATTTTTTGCGGAATTGCCTGGTGTTATGCGGGTTTCCGGAATTGTTTAGTGTTTTGCGGGTTTTGTGCATTTCAAAAATTTTGCAGAGAAAGAATTTTCAGGTTCCAATGAGAAAGTTTTGCTTAATTCAATTCGCACTTTTCTTATTATTGCATTTCAAATAAAAATTTACTTTGAAAATTTAAATAATTTCCAGCTTAAATTCTACAGCTAAATATTACCGAAAAAAAGAAAAGAAAACAAGTAATTAAGTTCTTTAATTATGACGACATGAAATGATCATTCTAGATATAAACTGCAAAAAACTTTTCCTCAATATCATTCATCAAGAAAAACCTTATTTTATTAAATCCACAATAATGGCGCAGAAGGCACTAATTACCAATGAAAAAGAATTATCGATACTTTATAGTTTGAAAGATCATCGATTTCATTCTCACAAATTACTTCCCTGTGATGATGAGAAACTAATGTGATCGTAGTATTTTATTGTTTGCAATTTCAAAGATCATTTTTGAAATTAATTCATTTCTTGATGTCTCTACATCATAATGTCAAAGCATGATGTCAGAATGATGTCAAACATTACATCAAAATATTTACAATAACTGCAGCTATCAAAGTATGTGCAAACAGTTCATCTTCGTTTTTCAACAGCTACAATCAACAATTCAAATTTGGGAGATAAAACTGTGACATTTATTTGACATTTTGCATAACTTTCAAAATTGAATAGGCAATTTAAAATATGGGCAACAAAAAGGAATAATATAATAGCTGAAATCTTCCGTAACAAGAATGTTTACAAATTCTTATATAACTTGTTTTTAAAATAATTTCTTACACCTTGATAAATTTTAAAGATACTAGAGATAACAAGTGGAATCAATAGGAATGGAATCTGGAAAATAGAGCGACTCAAAGCATCTTATTTTCAATATTATTTGAAACTTCACCGATAGATTATAGTTTCTATCATGCAGTAAGATAGCCTTAGATACTATATTCTCAACCAACTGGCACTACTTTCTTGTTCAGTTTTTGTTTCGAGTCTTTCTCTCCAATAAATACCCAACACTTTTCACTACTTCTTCACATTAATAGTTTTGTATGTCAACAGCTTTTCCTACATACTATGTGAAGAATTGAAAGAAAAAGGTATTGTAATCCATTAAGCGAACGATCGCCAGATTCTCTCATCAAATTCAAAAACTGACGAGTCTTTCATTTGTCATTAAATCATGACAAGAAATGAAACAGACACGTATATGGAATAGAAATCCGGAGTTTTTGAAATGGATTTAAATTCGGATCAAAACTAATTATCCTATTTTAACTTTATTATTTCGGTCAGGAAAAGCTTGCCAAAAAATGAATCGATCAAACTTAAATCATTCGTCTCATTTTATTTCACCGCTCGTTTCACTCAATACAAATGCAACAGTGTTTTTTTAAATGAAGTCTATAGCAGAGTGAAAATAGAGCCCGGGGATTGTCGGATGTGGGGATGGAATGGTTGGAGTGGTTTTGAAGGGGAGATATGACAATCTAATATAGAGAGAGAATTGACTGAGGAGGAGAAAAGATATTTCATCGAAAGAGATACAAAGTTGGTAAGAAAACTATGATAGATTTATTGTAGTGAGAGAATAAGAATGATTAGAGCATTTTATCATGAAAGTAAGAATAAATGAGCTGCGTCCTCATTTTATATTGGATTATTTTTTATTACACATACGATAAGAAAGGGTAAATTCTAGAAGGACAATTGCTCATCCATTATTTCGTGACAATATATCTTCTTCCTTCCTCCAGTTGTTACGAGATTTTAGTACATATCTGCAAGATAATCTTTGAGTGCTTTGTTGAGCATCCTATTGATTGACATTCCATACAATCGATATTCAATTGATTGTACAGAATGAAAGCGGGAAGATATAATGAAAGATCAGAAGGCGAAGACTGATTGGATTTTATGAAAGACAGAAATTTCGCTAGCTAATCAAGAGAGGAAGAGAAGAGGAAGATTGCCAAGTGCAAATATGCCAGCGGTCTGTCCTTTTTAGTTTATGTTTCAGTGAAAGTAGAATTTCTGATTTTCAAACTAGTATTTTTCCTTAGTGGAAATGACACAATGTGAACGCAAATAGTTTTTATAATACTATTTAAAATTTTGAGTAAAAGACTAATCTTTTGGTAGGTGATTATGCGTGACCTAAGAATAGATAGGAATTGATGTTATTGCGGCGTGTTTTAATTGATTTACGTGTTTTCTTTAAATAATTATTCCGCACTATTTGGAGAGAAGTGTTCGTAATGTTTTGTTTCAGATTTTTTACTAATTTTTTAATTGTGGGAATCAATAATGGAAAATATCATGAATTCGGTAAAAAGTATAGCCCTTGGTGTTGGTGAGTATTTAACACCTGTACTTCGGGAATCAAAATTCAAGGAAACAGGCGTGTTAAATCCTGAAGAATTTGTTATTGCCGGCGATTACCTCATACATCATTGTCCAACTTGGTCGTGGGGTCAATTAGAACCGTCAAAGTAATTTAGCTGTTATTTGATTTTGGCTTTCGTTTATTTCACAAGCTAACTCATTTTCTATGGCCAAGTTAGGTTGTGAAGGCATATTTCTTCTTTCATAAGCTATTTGGTAGTCATTCAATCAAAGCAAAAAAATTGAAGGCATAAGTGAGTAGTGCAGAGACTCAATTTTCTCGCACTAATAAATTGAGTCAAAAATTGTGTAATGAAAAGTCAAGCCGAAAGTTCAATTATTTCATTAAAAAATTAGTAGCTTTGTGCAGTAGTTTAATAGTTTCTGGTGTATTACTGGAAAGCATGATGATTTTATTATACTTTCGATTGTGGAAAAGAAGAGCTGTTGATTTTATGAAAAATTTTGAAACAAATAGCTTGAAATGTTTTGTGTACTTTTATAATTCTAAATTTTCTATATATTTGGTATTTCAGAGCCAAACCATATCTGCCTACAGACAAGCAGTTCTTGATCACACGTAATGTGCCATGTTTTAGTCGGTGTATGGATATGGAATATGACCCATCACAAGAAAAGGTGTTTTATTAAACTGAAGAAAATAATATCCATTAGTTTTCTGCGTACATCCATTCATAACCAAGCTATCTCTCCCTCTATGTAACTGAGTTTGGAAGTTCTTTTTTGATAATTTAATTCGCCGCAACAGTTAGATAATAGTAGTGGAAATGCATGGGTAATTTCAGTCCGGCAATTTTCAACAAAAAGCTGTATAATCTGGAGATTAAACAATTGTTTGTTTGGATTTCAAACTTGCAGATACTGAAAGGTAAAGAGTGGAACGAAGAAGGTGATTTCACTAATGTGGAGGATGATGAAGGATGGATTGATACTCACCATTATATGCTAGATTCAAGTCAGAAACCTGTATCGATGTTCGAAATATCCAAAACGGAATCTTCTGAGGTTCTGATTTCCACATAATATTATTTATATCGCATAAAATGAAGATATATTATTTGAAAATACTAGTGTTGGCTTTAGTCAAAACAGTTGGAGGAGCCGGAGGACGACGATGAAAGACCATCGATGGATATGGATGCGTTTGTAGCTGAAGGTGGTCTCGAAGAAGACGATCCTTACAGGTGATTTTTCGAAAGACTTTCTGAAATAGCGGTAGATAATGTGTCCCAGGTTCCCTCTGCTCTAGATTTTTCCAAGAATTCAAATTTTCAACCTTAATATATATACGACAGAAAAGTTAAGAAAGATGTTCAAGATTTGTTGAAGAAAATAGAAATCACACAGAAGGTGACACGGATAACGTCTTGCACACACGTACTTATGATCTCCACATAACTTACGACAAATATTATCAGGTAACCTAAGTTATACTATTGTAGTAGTGTGATAAAAGAAAGTTTTCTAGCAATCACTATTTCGATTTTTCTCCGTAAATTTCACTTTCTTAGCAATGGGTCTTTTACAGAATGTTACCACAAATGTTGTAATCAGATGACGTGTGTAACTGATTCAACATTATTATAGAGTTTATAATCAAATTTCTTTAATAATGACTCAGGTACCTCGTCTTTGGTTGTGTGGATACGATGAAAACAACAAACCGCTTACTGTCGATAAAATGAGTGCAGATTTTTCGCAGGTTTCAGTTGTTTTTAGTTTTTAGATTGGTAAAGAGTATAGAGTGGTTATATCTCCCATAATATGTTTTTTTCATTTGATTGTTACTACTTTAACAGTTTTCTTCGATGCTTTTTCAAAAAAAATTTCATCATTTAAGGATCATATTAATAAAACAATTACAATGGAATCCCATCCATATTTTCGCACTGCAATGGCTTCCATTCATCCTTGTAGACACGCGGAAGTAATGAAGCGTCTTATTGAGCAGCTTGCTGAATCAGGAAAAGAGCTGAGCATTGATCAGTATCTCTTTATATTCCTCAAATTTGTTCAGGTTACTTTTCAGTTATTCATAGATGTCTTTATATTTGATATATATGGAATTAGCCAGTCTACTTATTTTAATAAATGGTCAGAAGCTCACATCAAATTAATCTAAAGGGCGGTTTATTAGTAATTTTGAAAAGAAGATTTGGTCCATTAAAAAATGAATTTGAGCTTAATTACAATTTTATTTGAAGCCATAAATTTAGCATTAATTTTAGGCAGTGATTCCAACGATAGAGTATGACTATACACGAAGTATTCAACTTTAATTGAGTTAATTATTAAACAATTGTCAATTTATTGCGAACATTTTTCGGTTGCTCATTTATTTGTCAGTTTTGGAATTCTTTCATCTTTTACTCACTTTTGGGACTTTCGTAGTCCATAAAGTACCTACTTGTTTAATTGAAGGAAGGGCTTTTAAAGCTGTTTTTCTTCGGAACTTAGTTTCTTCGTTGTATGTTTTTACTTGTCGTGGTGAATTTCTAGAAACCGTTTTCTTTTTTTTTAATGTTCATCTTCCTCTTTTTTAATCTTTTTCTACTTACGTATGTTGCGTTCTTAATCAAAGTTGTACTATCTTCCACAGAGCTTTTCATGTAAACTTTTGCCTGTAAATTTTGAATTTTTTTGGGAAGATTAATGTTGGTCTAAAGCAGAATGATATGCCAAAGAGCTGCTAAAATTTTAATAAACATATCTTCTTTGTTTTGCTTGAAAGGAACAAAAAGTGGATGAGAACAGAGGAAAGTGCTGTTGTGATTCTCTTATGACAGGAAGTAAAATATTTGAGGTTAATGACATGGACCTTTGGGAAGGTAGCACAAAATACTTTTCTGGGATAGAAGCTAAAGCTTCCGAAATGGTGATGCAAAAGCAGACTATAAACTTGAGGGAACAAACTATAAACTCACCAAACCAAAATAAATTGTTCTAAACAAACACATTTGTTATGCATTAAACATGATAAAAGATTTGTGTCTAAGTCAGATTTTAGTATTTTAACAGATTTACATGTGCGGATTTGTCAATAAATAAACCTATGTTACATATCTGTACTACAGCACGAGGAAGTAGCAGATATGATTTGATAGAATCATTAACCTGCTTTTCAAAATAAGGAAGCAAGAAAGTATACTCATGCCAATGAAAGTTCATAATGATTTTTAATTGCAATGAGTTAAAGTTACTCACTTAACTCTTTGTAACTTTTCACGCATTGATAAGTTTTTATATACTTCTTACACTCATAAAGGAAAATGTAATAATTCAGCGAACTCGATAAGATTTTTAATCTTACTAAAGAAATTCAAATTTTCGTCAGTAAAGATTGTCGGGATTTTGAAATTAATTCAAGATGATATTTCAGATAATCTATAAATTTGTTTTATCATCTCGCTGCTGTCAAAACTATTCGACATTTAACATGATATGATAATCAATGATCTTCTATTAGAAACATACTATACCAACCACTACTGAAACCCTCCGATGAATCCATTCTATTCAAGCGGTTAGCAATTTTGAATTTCTTTTTTAGTTTCTCGAATAACTTATTACACTGTGTTTTTATATTTTCATATATGTTTTTTACTAAAAAGTTATACTTCTCTTTTCTTATCCACTTTAGCTTTATTTGCACAAAATTGTGAAAATTATTTTACGGAGGATTCTTTGAGAAAATATGCAATCATTGGCAAGTCATTCAATTTTCCTTTAAATCAAAATAATTACTGTCTAATTTTGGATTCTTTTAAATTCTTGTCAAAATTTAAATATAAAAAATTTGAAACAATTATGCAGAATATTCACAAACACAATAATGATCAAATGTATCCTTCCCGATCTATTTGGGAGTAGTGTGACACACAGTCGAAATAGATCTGTTTGTTGTGTAATATCATCAATTGTTGCTCAGAAATCAAATTGCACAGAATGTTTATTTATAGTTGTCAGCAGATGTATGCGACATGTTTTGTTTATTCGCTCATACGTTTCCATCCTTTTCATCTCCCTATACACTTTTGGTTACAGTGCTGTGCTAATCACTAATGATTTCATTGATAAAATATTGTNAGCTTTTCATGTTGTCAGCAGATGTATGCGACATGTTTTGTTTATTCGCTCATACGTTTCCATCCTTTTCATCTCCCTATACACTTTTGGTTACAGTGCTGTGCTAATCACTAATGATTTCATTGATAAAATATTGTAGATAGTTTTATGCTCTTTATCAGAAAAAAACAAATTAGAGGTTTTGTGTAAAATGCAACTGATAAAATTTTCCTAGAATTGAGATTCAAAAAAAAACGAAAACAATTTTGATAAAGTACTATACTTCAATTTAATAAATTATTGTTTTTAATTACTGTTAAAGATGAATGCTAACTTACAGAAATATCTATTCAGAAAGATGTGGATAAAGATTTTTACAAAGTTTAAAAGATTATCTGGAAGGTCATTTACCAAATCATAATTAGTATTAATATCGCTAGCAATATGAAATTTAATATTAGAATTGATGTTTCATAGAGTATTCATTATTCATGCTGGTCATATTGATAATAATATAAATGTTGATTTTCCCATTTTTGTTATAACGATTTCAATTCCCAATAAGACATCTACAATTTATAAATTATTTAGTAAAGAATTGATAAAAAGAGCAAAAAAACTGAAGACGTCTTTCAAAATATGTTTTATGGTTCAAAGTTCATTAAAGTTAAATTCAAAAGATTTTCATTTTTGTTTAATAATTATACAATTTATCTGTAATGTCTTAATTCTTATTTATCTAATTAACACCTTATTAATTGTCCATTTCATTTCATTGTTTATTTTTTCTAAATTAATTTTCATTCATTTCATATTGAAAAGCAAGGAAGGATAGTTTGTTACAACGATCGTTTTCCAATTAAGAATTAATCGGAAAAATTGTTTGAAATTGTTTAATTAAAAGAAATTATTATATTCGAATTTATTTATAAAATCACATAATTAGGTTAATGTGAATTTTTTGTTTTAATTTTAACTTCACTATAAACATATAACATTCTATTTTCATTTCTTTCTCCTCTTCATTCACTCATTTCTGAAGTTTAAAAGAAATTCTTTTGACGATATTTTATCGGCAAATGTTGAAAAGGAAAAGGGAGAAAATTTCCAAATTGAAGCCATCTGTTCATTCGGATAAAATTTGAAGCCATCTATTCATTCGATTAAATTTGAAGCCATCTGTTCATTCAGTTAAATTTGAAGCTGTCTATTCAATGAGTTAAATTTCAAGCCATCTATTCAATCTTGGTTAAATTTAAAGCCACTTGAAGCCATCTATTATATTAAAATCATTCATATATAATGTGATTTACTCCTTTCACTTTACTGACAGCAACAAATTCTTAACTTTAACTTAATCATCCAAAAAAATTAAAAATTCAAAATTTAGCACAATTAGTCAATGAAAAAGTTTACATTATTTTAAAAAAAGAAATTCAATAACATTTTCCACTTTTCTCTCATATTTACTTAATTAATTTATGCATTAATTAAATATTCTATTATATATTAACCCGAACAATTCATTCTATAAGTATTATATAACTAATTTTAATTAAAATTGTTGAAATGAAAAAAGGAAAAAAGAAATCATTGATAACATAAAAACTTAATTTATACATTTTTGATAGAAAGAATTAAATTATTCAAAATCATCCATAATTTTATCATTTCTTAAAATGAATGCTAATTAATGATAATTATCACCAGACATAAGTGTGTTCGTTAGTTACATGACACGCCAGTAAATTCGAATAACTTTTGTTGAGTGTTCCGATATATCCATCTTCACCGTGCTGCACACTTTATCTGTATCATTATACTTTTTTGAAACTTTAATGCTATCATTATGTATAAGTTTTATAGCACCAATTCTCGCTATTAATTTTTATTAAGAAAGGTCAAAGGTAAACAAAAAAATATTAGGAAAAAATCAAAGTTTATCATGCTAATGAAATTTTTAGACTGATAATTCTTTTAAATCTTAAAAAATTAATAAATAGAATTTGGAAGTAATTATTAACCGCAAGCATAGCCACCGTTAGCTCCATATTGTTGGCCACAAGAATTCTTCCACTGACAATTTGAATTATTACCTGATTGACCTGAAATACAGTACTAAATTAATTGATTATTTGACAAAAAAAAGGAGCAGTATGCTCCGGCTTGATTTCTCAAACATACCAGATGAACGAATTGCGGACAAAGTCTTCTCAAGAAGTGGCGTAGCATTGAATAAACGTCTAAGCCAGTTCCTGTTATTCGGAGGAGTAATTTGATCTATGCCGGATTTTGTGTTCTTATTGCTAGGCAGCAAACTGAAATTTTAATTCTTTCACTTCTTTATTTTACTTCTAAATTTTAATTTTGGCAAATTTCTATTATTACTATTATTATTTGCTAAAGCATTTTAATCATCGTAATTGTAATCAATTAGTATTTACAATAATATCTAAGAAAACTTTTAATTTCAAAAATAATTCATAAATTAGATAGAAATGTTAATTTAGCTAAATAAATTAATAAATAGATTAAATAAACAAAAGCATACGGAGTACAATCGTAGTTGTTGGCAATATCGTTAGAGTGCATCTTTCTACGATACCAATCACTAAAATAAACATTCGACAGCAACACAATTGTGAAGAACTATTAAGGCGTCGTCTATAAATCCCACTTCTATATAAATATATATTTGAAGTTCAAGGCCGCTCTCCTTTAAATTATTTAAATTCTCGTCATAAATTGCCTATTGAGAAATATATTATCTTATTATATATCTACTTCAGAACAAAGCAATTATTGATTTCCCTTTGTATCATACATTAATTTATTAAAATTCAAACTTGAACTTAAACTTAAACTTTGTGTTAATAATCATACTGTTATATTAATGTAAAATATTGTATTTACATTATATCGTTGAAAATTGGCTAATTCTAATTTCGCTATAATAAATTAACTTTAATTTTAAAATTAAGAAAATAGCGTTCAGCGCAATATGATAAATTTAAAAGGCAATTTAAAATGATACCATACAATTTGATATCACCAGGAGTTGTATTAACTCCACCATTTCCACTTTTGACCCAAATATCCAAAAATTACATCCCACCGATAAAATATCGTTGCCGAAATATTTTGTCAAATGACAAGACCATCCATTTAATTAATTACTGAACATTTTGTACACAAATAAGACGTTTCATCTGTGATGATGTCACCTTTTTTCCAACTGGAGTTGTAATATCAGAAGTTTGAATTTTATTATCACAATTTAATTTTGCCATAATTTACTCTAAAAAATATTAGTACTGCGCATGCAGTACTAATCTTCCACATTCCACTTTTTTAAAATAATTTTTTGTCACTAGTACCGACCCTGACCCTTACTTTATTATCATCAATAAAATACAAATTGTCCTCTCTTTCTCATACCAACATAGGATGAAATTTCTCCCCCCCCCCTTCTCATAATATTAGCTCTCTATTAAAAAGATTTAGATTTGAGATCAGAAAAGAAATCCGGATATTATATCCCTCGGATATATTTGGGACAGTAATCCGAAAGTATCAGCTGGACTATGGTCATCAGAAGTTCACTTTGGACAACTCTCGTAAGAATTCTACATCTATCCTTGCACTAGGATCTCCCGAAAACATATGTCAAAACCACAATAATGTGTAATTTAAATTCTGATCGTATTTATACTACATTAACAAGTTTCATATATTGCAAATGCTACTCGTGCACTATTTCCATTGAAAATTAAATTTCACGCCTTTATAAACCTTGAATTAATCAGATATCAATTTTCTACATCAACTAAAAATATACCGAAAATCAAAATATTCGCGAGATTTGCAAATTTCTATCTACTGACAACAAAATGATCTTTAGTTTAAAGAAAATTTTGCACAGTTTGGGAGTGCATTCGATATATTATTCCATACTTACCGTAGACATAAATAACCTTCAGAAAGCCTTCATCATATGATGCTATCACTGATAAGATTGCAATTATTATTAGTTACTTAACATTTATCATCTATTTCTAATGTTGTGGCATTATCGATTTATCCTAGGTTAATAGAACAAATTCGAACATTTCAAACAGATTATTATTTCATATGTGTGATACGATACAATTAATTAATACATATTAAACAATACTTTCTTTTTAAAACACATAAAATGGTGATGGATCGCTTTTATATCGGAAAATCATAATTAAAAGTGCTGAATAATTGATATTTACAATTCCTAATTATCCAAAATGACCTGAAAAATTTTAGATAGAAATAAATAACGCAGTTATCAAAGTCTATAAATTCATTTTACAAGATTTACGAAAGCAGGGTAATATTTGAATGTCTGCATAATAAATCTACAATTCACTAATAACAAAATGATCTTGATCCGATAAACAAAGATTTCATATTGTCGAGCACAAATTCAATGAGTTAGTTATCTCGTAATTGTTACAGACAAGTTTGAGATAGAGGTCTTTACAATACAATATTACTCCTGATATTATAATTCATACACATTTATTATTACTGGCATTTATCATTTATCAACTTTTCAAAACATTTTGTATTCTATAATACTAAATATAAAGCTAGCCATCAAGTTGATACATTAATTTCGGTTTCATGATTGCTCAAAAAACTTTCTTGAGTTAATCTGGCTTGCATATCATTTCTTCCCTTTGGACCATACAAATCAAACAGGGCACTTCGTGAAGGTGCAACCATAAAGGATGTAAATAATGATAATAGTAACATTTCCACGATAATCACAAAATTACACATAACTGAAATACAATCATTCATGATAAATGCAAAGTGGAAGTGTTAAATCGGATAGTTACATCTATGATTGCTAATTTTAAAGCCCATTTATGAATTATTACTTCTTTCTCACTTTGTCTTATTTTTCTAAAAAAGAAATGAATGTTTGTCGTTGGGAGACTTTTTGTCTTGAAGATTTTAGCTTTGATAATTCTCAAATAGTTTTATAGCAATTGTAAACAAATTTAAATTCATTATATCTGAATATAACGGTGAAATGTGAAAATGAAATGTAAAATGATTAAAGTTTAAAAACTAACATCGAGCATTATCATGCGCAGATAGTAATGGACCACATTTAAAAATATTAAATCGGATCAAAATATTCTCAAATATCATTGGCTGTTGAGCGGTGAAAAAAAGAAGTGCAATATCGACAACTCGAAATATTGTCATAAACCCATAATCACCAAGTTTATCCTTAAAATCAATTTTTTTTTATCAAAAAGTGAAAAAAAGTTACTGTAATATGCTAAATATACTTACGGAAGTTAGACGAGCTAACGTATGAACACCAAAAATAGCAAGTAGTAAGGAAGCAAGAGAAATCATTTCACTGAAGTGTATGTATCTGAAAAAATCGATTTTAAACAAATTCAATAAATATGGCCAAGCTTGCAGTATAATTACTGATGTAGATAAAAATAATATTGCTTCACAAGTAAATAAAATAAGCTTCAGAACTATTGAAACAAAGTACCAACAATTTTTATGGTTTACAAGATGATAACAGCTATGTTTCAATTATGAAACTAATATAGATGGTAGAAGTAATTTGTATGACAGCATAATTTGATAACAAAGATATCAGTTCTCAATTTATGATTGCATCATCGTAAATATCAAAAAAACCAAAGTACTTATTGGCAGCTTCACGCAACTCTGCAATCGCGATCACATTAAACGTAACGATCACTGCACGAACTACTGGAGCCTGTAAGACCAACCATTCCAGTTGACGCAAATTTCGCCTGCAAATGAAAAATTTCCATAAATTATATTAAAAACAATTTCGTTTTAAATTTTCAAAAAAAAGGAAAAACTCAGCAACTTACACGGTACTTTTTGCTTTTGGTAGAAATGAACAACAACAGCAAAATGGCGGACTTTGGAAATCAATTGGTTTCTCGTCTAAGAGAAGTACAGCTGCGAATGTATCACGACTACCGAATAAATGCCTTATCAGTGAAATAAGTATAAATAGGCATGTGAGGAAATAGAGAACGCCAAGTGAGGACATCACCATTGATGTACGTGGCGATATCATGCCGATATAGCAGCACATTGTTGATACCTTTAAATGACGAGAAATAATTTTTATAATGTTGAATGCAAATGAATTAACAATACATTTACAAATATTGGATGAATTCATATTTTATAACGTAAATTTTATTAGCAAAAATTCAAGATATATTTAAAAAACGAATTGCACAAGTATCACAGAAAGGTCAATTGTTTCAAATTTTCTTAAATCAAAAAAGAGTTGGAGCAGAGGACAGAAGTGTGAATATATCATGCAATTTATCCTTTTGAAAAGATTACCATTAGAGAACTTAGTACAGAAGAGTGAATATATCATGCAATTTATCCTTTTGAAAAGGTTACCATTAGAGAAATTAGTAAGATCAGTAAGGAGCAAGAATTATCAACATAATAAATTTTACTATTAAAATCTTAAATTCTGCTAAACAGTTCCAGGCTGTAATTTAGAATTAAAAATTAAATTTAAACATTTACCGGAAATAATGATAGTAAGAAATAAAGTTTATTTTGTCGTTTCTCTTCAGCAACATACATCCATACATGAAACCAATGAACAACTGCCAAGAGTAATACAATAAAGGTAAAAATTGTTGCACATAGTATGAGAATGAATTGAGTGCCCTGTACATCTGAAAATACGAAAGAGATGAATATCAATTCTCTCTCATTTAGTTATCCTTTTCTTTCAAATAATTAATAGCAGTGTGCACCTCACATTTTTTAAAAAACCCCTCTATCCATTTCTCCTTCTGTTTATTAATCATTCATTCTGTTGCGCTTTTTCTATTCATTTACCCTTATAATACTTTTTTATCTATCACTTTCATATTATCATATATTATTATGATATGCTTTGCATAAATGATAAGAGCTTATCAAGTGTGCAATATATGTACATATATTTTTTGCAACAATTGTTAATCATATCAATGAAGAGCTACTATAGTTTTACATAGAACTACCAATCAGTACTTCCCAAGTGAATCAACAAATTAAATATGATAATGAATGAAACAATAAAAGGCAAAGCTATTAAATTATTTCGATTAATCCACTCAGATAACATGAAAAATAGATAAGAAATGAATTTTGAAAACTGAAAACGAGTAATTTGTACTTGAAGAAGTGATCAAAACTAACTTACTTTTAATAAAGTAATACGCCGATGGCTGATCTGATAACGATGTACAATTTTGATCAGTATTAGGCCACTCTATCACTTCCAGTATTTTCATCGTTAATTCATTGAATTTCATATCCAATTTCGCATTCAGTCTCCAAGAAGCTATAATGATTCTTTTAAATCTTTTCCTTCATCATAAAATTTACAACACTAAAAATATGAAGTAAGCATCAGAAGTATTGATTGTTGGGAAGAAAATTGTCATGAATAAAAGATCAAAGAACGATCAAAGGAGAAAAACGTAGGAGGTATTTGAGAGAGTATGAAGAATAACGATTATCGGATAGATGTGGGATAAGGTTAGATATCATATCATAATATATATATATATATATCGTTCGTTGCATAATGTTACTTTCTACATTTCATATAGTAATGTGGGATAAAGAGAGTGCTAGTATCTTCTAGCTTAGCCGTTACATCATTTGTTCAGTAATGATTGAAAGTGAGCAGTGAAAATTTGGAAACAAAAGAAATAGCAAAAAGATTGATAAGAAGTGGAAAATTGCCGATTGAAGAATGAATAACAATAGTTTGTTTACTGAGAGTTACGAAAAGGCAAAAAAGTTTTGGTAAAGCGGAAAGATGAAATAAATTTAATATTATAAAAATTATAAAATGAAATATTAAAATTACCTTAATAATGTATTGTTGTAAAATGTAAAATCTTTTCTTCAATTTTATATATTCTTAATTGCCCTTAATTTTTATTCAATTAAATAATAAAGGTAATTGTTGCAAAAAAATAAAATAAAAATGAAATTTGTTAAGATTAAAATATATCCGTTGCTTATTGTTTACATCTAAATAAACAGGTAATAGAGGTAGTAAGCGGAACACCTTCTTCAGCTCTCACATCTCTTCTCATATCAATAAACTATAAGAATTTGAGTATATCGATTCTTCTCTCGTTGTTCAAACCATTTTTCAGACTTCGTAGTAAGCTTACCCATCATCGATCATTAATGAAAGCTCTTCTTATATATATATGTTTGTGCATATGTATGTGTGTGTGTGTGTGTGTGTGTGTGTGTGTGTGATATATGTCTTTATACATATGTGTGTATATAATGTCTGTGCATGTATCTTTAATATATATTTGTGATGTGAGCGCATATATGCGTGCTTGTGAATGTATGCGATTATGTCCGCTTACATATGTAAGTGCATGTCTCTTTACAAGATGTAAAGATGCAAGTGTAAAGATGCAAGTGCATGTCTTTTTTTACAAAATATAAAGATGCAAGTGCATGTCTTTTTATAAGATGTAAAGAGACAAATGCATGTCTTCTTACGTATCTACATATTTTTTTAACTGATAAGAAGAATGATGTGTGATGATGAACGTTTGCTATGAAAGGATTGAAGGGGGAACGGATCAGATGAATCATTTCATACATATTATTTCTACTCTCTCCCTTCATTCCTTCCTTTCTCTCTCTCTCCCTCTCTCTTTCTCTCTCTCTCATTATTCATTCTACCTATCAACATTTTAAACTTTGTTTGTTCGTATTTTAAGCCTTAGTGAAATTTATTTAAACGATTTGATAAGATATGAATGCAACAAATTAAACGAGCATTATGCTTAATTTCAAATACTCAAACTTTTCGATAGTTTTAATTATCAGTTATTGTTTACAATTTGAAAAGAGATTTTACTCATAGATGTTTGAAGAAACAATTAATGATACTAGCAAATTATTTGAAAAACATTGGTTGGCTATTTCGAATTACAATTTAAAATGAAAAATGAATGTTATCAATTTTTGCAGTGGATTAGATTGACGGAAATTACTAATGACACATTGATAAATGAAGCGAATGTAAACCGGAATAAAGTGAACTGAAGCCGAATTGAAAATCAGTCCCGAACGCAAATCATTATTACTATGCAATGATTTATATTCAAGAAAGCAACGAACGAAAAAGATTCTTTTAAAAATTGCTAATACAATCCAAATCAATTGATTGATTGCGATTTGATAAAAATTATAATCAAATTAATTAGTTTGATTATAATACGCTTTATCTTAATTCCAACAACAAAATCCTCACTTCTTATATATCACCAAATGTTTATAGCATTCTTGTAAAGAATGCATGATAATAAGTTATCAGTAAAATGGGAATTAATTTTTACAGTTTAACAAAACATGAAAGTTTGAGTTAAAAAAATAAAATTAAAAATGATACATTTCGGCAGATAACATTGATAAATAAAATTCAATAGAGAGTAGACAGATAGCTTCCATTTAGTTTTTTGTATTTGTACACTGATAAAATCTATTTGATACATTGATAAAATTCATTGATAAGAAAAAATTTTTGGAAACAATAATTTCAAACAATTCTAATACTTCATATTTTGTTTTTGAATAATCTTCATATTTCATAATATATACAAATTAGTTTACATACTATCAAACATTTCTTATATTTTGGAATTTCAAATTAGAATTCATATTAAATATTCCATATTAATTATTCCATACTTAATGATATGAATATTCCATATTAATTATTCCATACTTAATGATATGAATATTCCATATTAATTATTCCATACTTAATGATATGAATTCTAATTTGAAATTCCAAAATATACGAAATGTTTGATAGTATGTAAACTAATTTGTAAATAATATATTTCGATTTTATTGATGGAAATGTGAAGATAATTAAGAAAAGTATGAAATTTAATAGTATATATTCTTAACATTTCGAATTTACAAAGAAAATGAATTAACCTTTTAGCCGACAATTTAATTAAATTTTAATAAAGGAATTTTTTTAAATAATACAATTAATGAAATTAGCATTAGTATTGTTTCTTTCTATTTGCCAATGAATTTTAGATTATAAACAAATTTAAAGCTATTAAAATGATTGTATAATTTCGACGAACTAATCCAATTTAATTTGCATATTAAAATATATTATAGAAAATAGAATAAATTAAATGACATTAATGCTAACCAACCATAAAGATCATTTATAAATATACAATTATCATTGTAGCTAATATTTTATATTGTTTCATTTTAGTAATTATCATTAATAAGTCAAAGAAAAAACAACGAAAGCTAAAATATTATTTACTTACAAATAGAACTTTTTAAAGTCTTAAAAATTCTCCATTGCTAATTATCAAATTAGAAATTTTACAACTATCATTAAAAAATTAAAAGAAAATTTTTTTTGAAGAAAACCTGAAATTCACTAAATTACTTTTCTTTTTGTTTTAAAATTAAAATTTTTATCAATCATCTAAATTATGCTAAATATGATAAGCATTGATAAAAAGATAAAGCAATTGTTATTTTGCTTATTTTGTGATCGAAAGCGATTTTGCTTATTTGGTGTGGAAAGGATATAATTGAAATATTTTAGTTGCAAAATGTTAAATAGTTTAATTCAGGATCATCGATAGTATAATATGAAAGCTTTTAATTTTTAAATAGGATGAATTTGATGAACGAAAGAAAAAGCATTCTTTTGAAATGGATACGATATTATTGTTATTATCGTTATGAAAGTTGATTAATTATGAACTCATTTAGTTAATTACTAAAACAATAATTTTTTCATCAATAAGGGACACAAATGAAGTAATTATTTTAATTCAGGCTTTCATTTATAAATTTATGCTTCAAATAATTAACATTCTTTCATTAATACTTATCCTAAAAACCTGTTAAAATAAATGCATTAGAATTGTGTATGAGTCATTTGATCATAGTGTATGAGTCATTTGATCTTCTTTGCCTCAATAGCTCTTACGATCATCATAGAGCGTTCTTTGTCTTCATGGCTTTTACTTTGTATGATTACATGTAAGGATTATGTATGATCGTTGGGTTATCATCATCGATTTATCTATGTATGTTGAAACGATCCTTTCTGAGCTATCAGTTTTTTCTATTAAATGATCTACCTAATTAGCATCACTTTCGCCTATACTATAACTTTGTGTCCATTTTACTGTGAATAGTATTCGTTAGATAGTGCCCAACTCGAAAACAATATATAGCTGCTTAATTAATGACAGGATCAGTTTTTTTTCCTACTCAAAATTTGTCGAGATCACTGATTCAAGGCGTAATCCGAACTGTTCTCACGTATCTTACAGTAAGGATAAAACGACGAGATCCTCACGTATTTTACGGTAAAGGATAATAAGACCACGGGACTATATTGCTGACAATTGTATTATAAAATCAAAGAATAAAACCTCTCCAAATTAATTAAATCTTCAATTGCAGTTCGATTGTGCCAAATTTAAATCTCTCGTGCAAAAAATTTACAGTATTCATTCCAATGTTGGATGTGTTCAGCTGGCAGAAGAGGCGTAAATTACTTCATAGTTAAATTTGATAATGATTTTGTTCATCTTGATACGGTAATTATTTTGTTTATTTAAATTACTATGATTATTTTATTTATTTAAACGAAAAATTTTTGATATCGCAAATTATAATTTCTTCAAGCAAACTTTTTCGAACTTATAACGGATAGAGGATATTCAAAAATAATTAGTGACAGATGGAAGTCATTCCAAGAGAAGTCAATTATCAAAACAAAATTTTTTTTCAGAGAATGTTATTGCAAAAATAATTAATGGATATCACTTTGCTGTATAGTTAGTTGCATTGCAATCTAACGCGAACTGCATGCATATAAGATACGATAATGAATAATATATTAGTTGCTAATACTTGTCCAATTGATTGTTTTATACTTTTGAATAATTAATAAGTTTGGAAAGATTCCATTTGGGATATTAATTATTCAAACATTTCAAATAACAATTTTTAATAATTAAAAAATTCGTAATAAACTGATATGAAATATCGAGAAGGAATCTACAGTACAACAGTATCGCGATCTTTTAATCCGATGAACATTTTAATTCTATTCTTCTCATAAATTCTTCTGCTAAATTTTCACTGAGCGGAAAGAACCAGCTTAACTATGAAAATATATGCCTAAAGTTAGTATCATTACTATAACTATGACATCCATTTCATAATGAAACAAATTTGACCTCAATCCGGTCCTATGAAAACATATGCC